GTCTCCCATGACTACCAATGTTGATAACCCAAAAATCTGGCCGAGCTTGCCATCCAGATAGGTGGGTAACCATGCACACAATCCGTGCGGACAGAAACACACACAATAATTGTGAGACTCCACTGCTCCAGTAGTAAACCATAGTGACCTAGGAACCATGTCAAGTTTTGATGATGAGAGCAGAAAACGATGTCAGTGTCAGAGGCTCAGAAAGCCTTTGCGTGCAACATCTGTATTAGATGGGTACAATGTAACCGTGATGATGGCTTACCGGGACAGTACTACAGCTTTATGAGTAAGTACCCACGTAAATGGATGTGGTATATATGCCGAGGTGTCGGAAACTACAGACCATCACTACTGGCAAGCTGGGAAACTTGGTTCAGTCAAAAATGTTACGAAAAACGAGCCCTAATAATCTTCCCTCAGATTGCGGCCTAGATGCACAGGGACTGGAAAATGCCACAACTAGAGGCAGGAAGAAATTGGCTCGCACTCCGAGCGCGACACCAAAAAACGTCCTCGCTTGTATCACCGCCGCCCAGACGATCCGAAGGGGCTGAACAACCCGAGGATATGGGTTGCTCTGAGAATGAACGGACGGAAGTGAGTAGGGTAAGGGGTAGACCGAAAGCACTGGCTACCGAGCCCGATATTCCACAGGACAAGAGAAAGGATCCCATCATCTGTTCAACGTCCCTGCATTAACAGATTCGCTCTTACAAAAAAGAGAACAGTCTGATAAGGAGAACTGGGATGACTACTACAGAAAGCTGGGAATAGAACCCATCGCAGCCAACTTATGCAAGGTCTCCCAAGGAAGTAGAGCACCTCCAGACAAGCTGCCGCCACTGAGGGTATCAGCGATAACGGCGGAACAGTCGGAGAACATACTGCTGCTGTCGCGCCGACCAGACATTGCAGGCCCCTGCCCCACACGGGTGAAACTAGACAAACCCTGGGTCACCACAGAGTCAGACAGGAAGTCCCCGCTTAGTGATTTGCACAAAGCTGCAACCATGGTGGTGCACAGAATTCCAGAATTGGCGGGCGGATCCACAAAGTGTGACAATTACCTCCATGCCGTCGAGCGGTGGGTGTGGTTAACAGAAAAAATGGGACGTGGAAATTTGCCTGCCAGCAGCGTGAGTAGGTTACCAAGACCTATGCACCTGCATGGCACCCCCTGCCAAGATTGCTAGCTGTACTCTTTGGCTGCAAGGCACCACCAAAGGAAGCTGTCACGGCATGGTACCTTGTGAAAGGCCACACAGGAGGCGCTATATGATCTCGTGAGAGTAAACCACGGGCTACCAGACTACAAGATAGGAGGCAACCTCCGAGAACCCTACAGGTGGTACTAGTCAGAAAGTAATTAGATAGTGGGCTATCTGTAGGCACAATAAGCAATACGGCCACATCAGCAGAAGGATGCCAAGAGGGGTCAAAAAACGGTGACTTACCAGTGTAGTAGGGACTGGCAGGCAGAATCCAATGCAACGGCATACTAGCCCCCAAACAAGTTCCCATAAAGCACTAAGCTTAGAAAGTAGCTCCTTAGCATGCCTCCACAGCAATGTGAGAGGTCTTAGGAGTAAACTACTGCAAGTGGACATAATTCTCCTCACGGAGACATGGCTGTCAGAAGACATAGTGCATGAGGAAACATGTCTGCCTTATACGACCCTGTTTCGAAAGGACAGGCAGTTTGAAGGAGGCGGAGGAGTTGCCATATATACCAACACTCATCCGAGAGTCAAGGAAGCAACTGGTGTGTTCAGCTCACTACCAGACTCCTTATGGTGACATTTCGCCATAAACCAAACCAAGTACCTAATAGGAGTGGTATATAGGCCTCCCCTTTGTACGACAGAGCATAAGGCACAATTGCTCAGTACCATCTCGACAACCACCCTGGCGGCCTATAGCCATGCAGTCCTCGCTGGAGGCTTCAACACACCGACACTCAAACCGGGGTGCGAAGCAAGGTGTGGGCATAAATCTTTCGAACACAAACTTCGAAATACGTTCGTGGCAGCAGGACTGATAGAGAAGGTCGGGAAAGACGCTAGATGGGGACCAGATGGAAAAGAATCACCACTCGACTACGTTCTAACAGACGATGATCTTTTGGTGGACGATATCTGTGTCCAACCCTCCCTAGGTAATAACAGTCACGCATTGATGAGTTTCTCTCTGATAACCAGAGAGACACTACCAATAGTTGAGCCAGAAGCGTTCCGCCGTTAGCGAAAAGTAGACCACCACCTCATGAACAACGAATTCTTGGAGGCTCCATAACCACAAGAATGGCACCCACTATCGACAGTCAAACACTGGATAGATATGAGGGATATTATCCTGAGTGCTATCGAAAAGTGTGTTCCGAAATTAACCAGGCGGCCACCTCACAAACGGTCCTCGGTAACTCGTGTGACCCAAAGACAAATAGAGGGGAAAAAGAGGGCACGGTGCCGGTGGCGTACATCACGCAAGGAATCAGACTTTCATAGCTACAAGACATTACAAAACTTGTGTGATATAAGAATTCGTGATGACAGGTATACATACCAGAGTAACCCTGCTAAACAGGTAGGCTGCAATCCAAGAAGTTCGTATCGGTTTATGTCACATCGCACACGGACGGATAAGGGCTTAAACCTGATCACAGGGCCGGCCGGAGAGCTCTTGAACAGCAGTAAGATAGCAGAACTGTTGAGCAGTCGATTTGATGGGCAACTCAACCCAGTGATACATCCGCTACCAACGTCTAGTAATGTAACAAAGTCTCAGGACTGCTATAGAAAGCTGATGAGCGCGAAGATTTCGTCAGACCAAGTGTTAGCGAAACTTTCAACACTGAGAATACAGTTATCCCTGGGCTGTGATGACATGAGACCGGTGGTCCTGCGCAACTTTGTCGAAGTGCTAAGCGTACCCATATGCAACCTGTTCATGCGCTCGTTGGAAGTTGGTCAACTCCCCAAAGAATGGAAAAGCGCAATCCTTTCACCAATCTTCAAGGGGGAAACCGAAGAAACCCGTGCAACTGCAGACCAATAACATTACTCCCCATACTTTCTAAGATACTGGGAAGCCTGGTTGCAGATGTTGTTCAGGTCTACCTGAACAGAAACAGCATCGTCCACTACACTCAGCATGGCTTCAGAGCCGGGCGGTCACGTGCCACAAACTCTATGACTGCTTAGGATGACTGGACCACTAGATGGGACAGCAAACAACAAGTTCATGTTATCTTCTTGGACTTGGTCAAAGCTCTTGATAGCGTCCCACACCACATTATGCTCGCCAAACCAGCGAGAGTGGATATCACTGAACCACTCTTGGCATGGCCTACAGTATGCCTAGAAGATAATGAATTCTGCACTAAAGTAAGCAGAATTCGATCAACCTGGAGGAAAGCAGGAACAGGAGTTTCCCAGTGAGCAATCCTTGAACCACTTCTGTTTTCACTATTCATAACCGACCTCCCCAAAAAAATCTCCTCATCTATCCTTCTATTCGCCGACAATACAAAAATGTGGAGAACGATAGGAGACGAAGAGGATCCTGGGATACTCCAAAACGGCCTGTTGCAGCTGGAGTCCTGATCAGCTGCAAGCGGTCTAAGCTTTAACCTGGCGGTATGCAAGGTGATGTATCTTCGCACACCAGAGGCGATGAAAATCAGCTGCACTCTTGACAAGTATGCAACCGCTAAAGTATCCACGGGGGAGCTAGGACTAGACTTCTCTGACACAATGGGTACTACTGGTATTTACGAGGGAATGGCGGCAAAGGCGGACGCCATCATGCACTTTCTCAGGAGGCAACTTAGATTGTTAACCCCAGAGTTATTCCTTAAGGTATTTAAAACCGACGTCAGGCTACACCTAGAGGTGTTCAACACCATAGCCCTCACCCCAGTACTAAAGGGAGACGCAAATGCTCTCGAGAAGGTACAGAGAAGAGCGACAAAGTCGGCTGTCGGACTAATGGGCAAAATGTATGCTCAGTGCGTCAGGCAACTCAATTTGTTCACACTAAGCCACTGAAGGAGACGAGGCGACGTGATAACAGCCTACAAGATCATTCACCAGGTGGACCACCCAAACAGGACAACATTATCGGTCCAAAACCGACAATACCGTGGGGACCCCACTGTATACCCCACCATGGGGAAAAGAAGAGAGTGAGATTTAACGTCTTCCCCCATAGAGTATGTGCCTTATGGAACGCGCTGCCGAAAGAAGTGGCCACGGCTACATCAGTCGACTCCTTCGAACGACTACTGGATGAGTATGTGAGCGCAAATGGCTTACCACGAACATCTGTCAGTGGCAACTGATGATACGCCCTTCCATCTCTGTATCCCCCTTGTATTCTCCAGCCCTAGTATCTGTAGTAAGACGCACCTCCCCTCTATATTATTACCAGTCACATCTATATTTTCAAAAGTACTTTTCACTTCTCTTTTTCTAATTCCCCACTCACTCCGTTTCTATCACTAGTTAAGCAACGCTTAACACTTACTTGCAGGTGTCTACAACAACAGGAATTGCAAACGGTTGATTGATCTTATCACCAGCTCCGTTGACCCCCCTTTCCTAAATAAACCAAGTTACAATTTGCAAATAAGACACCTTCAAAATAGACAAACACTACCTCCAGAGCTACTAGCAGGAAAATGCAGAGACTTCTGAGACTGTCGAAGGATTACGACCGAAGAAAAAGAACCAAACCTCAAGACTTAGAAGTGAGAGCTCAAAAACTACAAGTATCCTCTACTCGCATTATTGACGTTTGATGTTGGAAGTGTACATTAATAGATAAGCCTTTTGAAGAGTATTCTGGATTTTGTAATGTATTCTTTTAGTTAGCTCAGAAAGTATATTTCGACATACTGGAAACCATGGACCGGTCGAAAAAGTTGCGTTTTAATCTTCCAATCCTTAGTTTCTGTACAGAGTCCATGGAGCACAGCGGTAAATAGTATTTTTGGTGATTTTGTTAACGGTGTTCAGCTTAAGACCTCGTTTGAACCTTTTTGTTTTTGATCACCATTTCTCCGCTCAAAACTCGAGTAACTTATGAGTGCCACGAATGCCTCTGAGTTAGGATATTACCGTAATGTAGCCCATCCAACTAGGGTTTGAACTGCAGTCTTATCATTTTTTTTCATAGTTCTTCTCTGAACTCTCTTCATGACAGCAGTTTCTTCCTTCAGTTAAGGGGCTACAAGTGAGTTCTGAAGGTTTGGGCGAATTCATACTCCATGCAGTGTTATGAATAGTCCTTAAATTATAATTATACTCAAGGGACTGTAGTCCCTTGAGTATGAGCACTAAACTTATGAACTTCAAAAGCCTTTTTTAGTGCAAGGCGACAATTAGCAGAAGCTTCAAGACTGTCAATAAGGTTAACCTCAAGATATTTTTCAATGTTTGAAAGGACCAAAATTAGACCTATAATAACTTCACCGTGTTGAACATGGTCGGGTTTTCACTCGTTCAACATTGGATTACATACAGGTTTTAAGGTCATCCACATATATTAGTGACTAAAAATTGGGGTAGCGTGTATGACACTTGTCAAAGCAAAAAACCACAACGGACCGAAAATGGAACCTTGAGGAACTTGGCTAAGTATCGGTAACAACTACGGCAAGGAGGAGCCAACTCCAACTGGTCGAAACCAATTATTAAGGTAATCCTCAGATAAACTGACTTTGCATATATACTCATAAACTGGGATCCTCTACATACTACATCATAACTTCTCCTGTTGAATGCTCTAGAAAAACCAAGTAGCTCACGATGAATGAGCTATTTTCACTTAACATGAAGTATAGTTATTTCATACTAGTAGCAGTTTGTTATTGAATAACCTATCAGGTAAAAATTCATGTTGATAGTCAGAATTCAGTTCCTTGGTAAGTGATCATGAAGTGAATCGGACTAATCTATTCATAACCTTTACAACCGACGTGACCATGGATATCCACCTATAGTTAGTAACAATAAGTTCATCACCACCTTTGTATACTGCCACTCTTTTTGATTCAAAGGGCAATCCGTCTTCTAGAACCAAGTAGTTGAAGAAGGTTGGTAGCGGGATGGACATTTTGGTGGTTAACAAACTGATTTCTTCTGAAATTCTTTAAAAAAGACTTTTGAGCGTGATAGGAAAAAATATTTATCCCTAATATTAGCTCTAAAGAAAGAGATATATTCAGATAAGAAAACGGAAAGGAGATTTTTCCATAACGTTTAAATCTGCTTGTCCTTACTACTCTCCACATTTTGATGACTTTTGAGTAAAAGTTTTAACGGCTAGGCATGCTGCTTTTTGTGACAAGTAGGTCCTGATGCATAAAAGGTTGATATAATTACATTCATTATCCTGGTTTGTGTTGACTAGATCCGTTTTCTTAGTCTCTCAAATTATGAAACCATGATCATGTGAACAAGCTGGTATTCTTGATTATATCGTTGATACACAAGTTGTACGTTAACCTGTATTTCAGGATATTATCTATGACCTATATGGTTTAATTGCTTTTACCTTCTGTAACTATACAGAAATGAGCTTCTTAGGATAACCTTCTCACCACTCCCTATGCAAGATAACTGAGGTCCCAGCATTACACTGATCACAATGTTCATTACTTTCCGAACACAGTCCTTCAGACTATAAGTAAGGGTCCTTTGGACTGGTGTACTACAGTTTCTGTTACAGTGTTGGTAAATATCACGCGTGGAAATACTGTGGATTATTTATTTTAATTTTCTTCTGAATTTGTCGAGAAATGGAAGTTTTAATTGGATTTTCACGTATTTTTTCCATATTGTCTTCAACATTTTTACGCGAAGGTTCCATTTTTTTCTTTTTTGTCAAACCGCTCCATTATATCAGCACTGCACGCATAGTTCCTCTCTTTTTGTACTATTTCCGCATTAACAGTTTTTTTTCTTAATTTGTCAGATGGTTTTAATTCAAATTATTTTACATTGACCAGAATTCGCTCATAGATTCAGACAAATAAATTTTTTCCCCTCACTTGTAAATCTGATCAGTGTGGTCTTTTATTACTATCTCAGAATCCTAAAATCGTGTATTTTAAAATGGGCAACGAGACGTGTTAGTGAACAATATTGTCTTCTATTAGGTATCCTCAGGCTTTAATATACATTGCTATACGCATACAAAATATGAGTCAGTTAAGGTGTTTGGTTCATCAGTTAACGATAACAAACATGCAGATGCATGCAATTTTAGAATTATAGGTATATGGGTAGTTTGTATGATAATAATATTAAGAACGGCATTATAATCGTAATTCAAATTGGTGCTCAGACAAAGTAGGTCAGAGCTTGGAAAAGGATACCAAGGCTGCGTAATACTTAGGTACTAAGTTGGTGTATGGGGAAATTTTTGATATGAATATGATAAGTGAATGAGATGGGGAACGAAATGAAAAGGAAAAGAAGAGGGTTTTAAAAATAAGTTGGTGAGATAATTCAGGAAGTCTTCCATGGCGTGGGTAGGGATGGAGGCTGTACAAATTATCGTTAAATACAATTGTTAGGATTGCTCATTTAAATCCCCATATCTTCAGCTTTATGTAAAAGGAAAGGATCTAATTCCCTCGCGAAAGTTCAATTGAATACGGTAAATCATTTTGAGATATTTCCTTTGTCTATTTTGGAAGCACACTTAACCAGATGTAAAAGATAAAGCTTCGCGTAGACTTAACTTGCCCCTTCCTCAGCCACGAAGGTAGCTGTTTTGTGATACTTTGGTTAGGTGACCTAGTTGTGTGCCCGATATAATTTTGTCCACAGGAACAACTAAATTGAGAAATAAACATGGAAGTAACGAAACTTGGTAACTTGTTCTTCATTGTGCTCGGAAAGACTCGTCAAATTGAAACTAAAAAATAACTAGTTGCGTAGAACGTCCTTACAATGGTCGTTGGGAGTTTGCGAAATAAATCTCAATGATTACGCCCCCATTAAATTGTTACTTTTCGATTCGTGCTTTCTTTTGAACAGCTCCTACCTCAAGTTTTTTACCAAATCTGTTTATATTCCGACTAACGACTTATGAGTCAACATTGCCAATAAAATAAATGAAGTACTCACCAGATCTCCATGTCATTCAATCTATTATCATTATGTCACCATCTTTTTACATGTGGAACATACTGTCTCTTCTTTATCGTCTTCCAATTTGCTTTCAGAAACCGTCCTTAAGTACGATATCTGACTCAACTCACCTGGAATCGTGCGTGCTGTTTAAGTTGACTGCATTCAAAGTTCGGACCGTGACGCAAGTCGGACAACAGATAGGTTTCACTAGGACTCTGGAAAGCCTTGTTATTGATGTATGTTGTATTTCAGAGACCTACATAAAAGATCCAGTGGTGCTTCTAATAGCTTCTACATCTATAGGCTTAAGAAGTATGTTTACCATGTACATATCCGCGGCTCTGTGGTATTGGTATCTGATCTTTTTGGTGTTGGCACCACACTAAGTGGCAACCAAGGCTTCAGTAGTCTACTGCTACCCCACTGACAGTCGTCTGTATGCTGTTAGGCTGAAAGGTTCGATTAGAGTGGCAAGCCACTGACAAGAGAAACAATATCACCTCTTCAACTCTACCCATATTCTGATTGACTGCAACCCTGATGCCGTTTAGAGATAACTTCTACCACCAGCTGATTGACTCTTTCCACCAGGTGAGCTCGACAAATATCATTGTGATAACTGGGGACTTAAATCCTCAGGTCCGGTATCGTGGCTCTGAATAGTTTGATTTAAGTGGATAATGGGAGCTGTCCTCTACAGCTTTGCACAGATGAAAGCCTACTTCTATCTGGCGTCAACTTCCAGCGTAGCCTGCGCTGTTGGGCTACCTTGCATTATGCCTCTACAACTCAAGCTTGGACTGTAATGGACCACATTAATTACCTATTGATGGTTTAGATTTGTTCAAGTCCGATGCTGCTAGGGAAGCATCTTTTTGATCTGTGGTCATAATTTGGTGTGTACCAAAGTTGTTGCCCTGAACCGGACGAAGTAGGCGACTTGGTTGCTCCTAGTATTGTGAATAAATACCAAGTCGAGTTAGGTCCAAAACTAACCTTCAAACCTTCAGAGTGTATAGCTGAGTATTGGCCGCATTTGTAAGACGCCATGAAGGTGGTGACTTCAGCTGTTTGTACCTTAGAAAAGTGTCCCGCTGGCATATATTCGGTCTTTATGAGTTTCTTGCAACTTCCACACGACTAATACATTAGAAATAAGTTCTTAACAATAGGTTCATACACAATGATAAGTTTTTATTTTGATAATATCTTGAGCTAAACTGTTGCCTGTGATCACACCACTAGCTGGAAATTTTATTCGCACATTTACCTTTTGTAATGTATCGATTCATTCGACAATGTACAAACTCTTCATTGATATATTCCCGATGTTTGTCAGTCTATTCCGATAAAAATCAGGTGTAAATATGTGCCCAAGTCCTACATGAGAAACACCACACTTCTCTAACATAAGAACCGCGTGGTTAGGTTGTAAGAGCGCATGAACGAGATGGAAGCGATATCTGCCTCTTCTAATAACCAGCAACTGCATCAGCGTACACGAGCCATCAACAGCGAAATGCCTGCTTTCAGTTTGATAGTTTTTGGGGTATGTTGCATGCCAACCAACGATGTTGTTGCTTGTATTATCCAATCTTTTGAGTGCACCGAATTGATCAGTCTCCATTGGTATGTGGGCTCCTGCGCGGATGTCTCCACATTGCCTGTGTTTGAGTTATATATTGATGATGGATAGTGGCTAGCAGTGGAATCCAGGATGCACTTTTCGTTCTGTTTGAGACTCATCAGCTGGATGTACCTGCTTCCCAGTGAGTAATGTTCCCACTCGGACTCGAACTCTGGGCAGGTCACTTCAAACGCCAAAGCATTGTGAAGAGAGTTCCAAGCAAGTATGCAACGCTTATTAAGGCTATCTACTCGACCTCATACAGCCACTTAAAAGCTTATTCAGAGTTGTCATCTGAAGTAACAAAAACCAGCGGTGTCCGCAAAGGATGTCCACCGTCACTGTTTCCGTTTAACTTCATCGTAGATGTGCTAATTGAGGTAACCCGAGGTAAGTACCTCCAGCCTTACAGCAACTGGCCTTACTTCCTGGAGGGCATATGGTTGAATCAGAGTATCCAGACGATATAGTTCTGCTCGACAAAGACATTGGCAAAATGTGGAATCTTCTGAAGGGCTTAAACAGAAATATGAGAGTTCAGCATGTATTTATACCTGTCAAACATAGGATGATACTTAGGGACTTGTGTAGCTGCTCTTAGTGTAGGGTTAGGAAGTAAATTGGTTAGTTGCACCGATCTCTTCGCTTGGCCAGTTGTACCAGTCTGAGAGGGTTGGGTGCCTGTTTGTTACTTACCAACTCATGTCATCTGTGTTGCCAGTGAGACGTCCTACTACCTATTAAAGGAGGAATATACTTATCTGCAATTCGCTCTGTCCTCGTCTTATATGGCCGTGAAACGTCATCTTTGGAAGCAAAATATGTAAACAGACTGTTGGTTTTCGGCCACAGGTATTTTTGCATCATTGTTTGTGTGTAGCCGAATTACTGTGCAAGCACTGTCGAGGTTAAGCGTAGGATACTAAGTAAGGAGGACGAAGTTGTGATCCTTCAGTGACTGAGATGGTTTGAACGTGTGTTGCGTATGTGGTCCCACATCCTACATCAAAATGAAATCTTAGTCGACGTAGGATAGATTAAGAAAGAGGCTCAGGGTGACCAAACCAAAATACGGTATCAATCCATGAAGCCCTTGAATGTTTGTTTGGACCGTGTAGGGAGGTGCAGATTGCTTACCTGTAGTCCTCGAGATAATGGGAACCAATGGTTGGATACTCTTCGTGAGATTGCTGAAAATCGGTCACATTTACGCAGATGTTTATTTGATTTGTTAGTGCTTTCATTTAATTATAAGTGTTTACAGGATTATACTAATTTGGCTAGTAGACTGTACTATATTTGAGTTTCTTGGTCGTAATTCAACCTCACTCGTTCACAACTTTCCTCACTTTTATCTTGATAGATTCACAAGGCAAAGTAGAGAATGATGATACATCTGAAGAACTACTGGCTGGGTATAATGTTTACATTACTGTTATCCTAATTAGATTAGATCACAGGAACCATCCTCAGATTTTGATATCGTTGTTGGACATCTAGAAGAAATAATGATGAGTAAGTCAACTTGCTGTTTGAATAAATAAATAAGTAATGAAAAATTCACAGAGTTTTTATGAAACACGATTTAGTCTATTCAATGCAAAGCTACTAATACCAGCATTCCATTGCTTTTGGTTGCAGGTATTACGGGTAGTTTTTGAAAGTGTGGTATAAGCTTCAAGATGGAAGATCCATCCTCAATTTCCGTAAAAATCATGCAGCCTATGTTGACATTTCTCACAGGTGGGTGGTTTTTCCACTGCTCAGCTGTAAGATTGACAAGGTTTCCTTTGGAAACTTTGTCAATACTACGATCAGTTTATGATATCTAGCACAAAAGTTTTGTGAATTGAAGAAATTTACTACTGAGCAGCAACATGAGTAGTTAGTAGTTTATCCAAACCTCCCAAGGAATGGGACTAGAGATATCAGCCCTTGATGAATATTGCCTTGAAGTAAATAAAATCTCCACAAACCTCAAACTAAATAATGATCGAAGCTTGTTTGTCAACTTTGCTTTCGATGGACGGAATATTTTGAGTGACATTTCTTCGTGTAACTGTTTACCTTCAATTAAACCATATTATCAATAAAATTTATTGATGCTGTATCAGTTTGGTATTCATCATGAACTGACACCAGTTGGGGGACCATTGGAAACCTAGGAGCACCGAACAGCTGTTTCGGCCCAGTACGGGACTCCTCAGCAGTGTGTACCCAGGATCTTTATGTTATGGGGCCAGCACGTTATGATTGTGCCACTGGATCGAAATCCAATGGCCCATATTTTCTACTTCCATCAGTACACGATATATCGCGACCTGCATCCAATGCTGTTGTTTAATATCTGTCCTCATATCCGACATGGTTGGCCCCACCGATCACGACTTCTCATTCAAACTTCAGGAATCACCAATGAGTGAGGTCATGGTGCGCACAAGTGTCCAGTACTCCCAGGTTTCTAAATTTTCTCTAACTGATGTCTGTTCGTGATAAATACTTACCTCAACTCAATAAATAAATCTCCCTAAAACTTCTAAACTGAATACTGTGTCGAGTTTTAATTCACAGATAGTGATTCACTTTTATCTGTTCTGACACAATATATTTAGTCATCCATTGTTGGTCACTGGAGGATCCATTACTTATTCAACTCCTTGCTTCATTGTGATTTATGGACACTGTCCCTGATGTACATAAAGATGATCATACTTATTTCAGTCTAGGTGTCTGTATAGTACGACCATCCAAAATCTTATAAATCGCAGTTTATTATTATTATTTTTTTTTATTTGGGTTCTTAGTGAAAAATAGGGATTCAGTAGCACAACTCCATTTCACTCCCTTCTCTGCAGTCTTTTCAACCAACTTTTCAGTCACCCAGAGTTCCTCCTTGCTTATTCTTATTATTCTGGTCATCTATCCGACCTTCAGTATCGAGTGAGCGTAGGCGGCAGCTGTTTATGTATGTCTGCAGTTTGTTGGGAAACATCACATGGAAGCACCAGCTTGACTGACTTATTGTTGAAAATCTGGATGTTGTTCACGCTTTTTACTGAGTGGAATGGAGTGAAGTGCAGTGCAGTAGATCTCCACAGTGATTTCAGTTTAATGAAGACGTGTCTTGCTGTCTTTCCGATCGCGGCTTTGACGTCCTCATCTTTGCCGTCACCTGTAGTTGAAATGATGGTGCCTAGGTGGGTAGGTGGGCAGGTGAAAGATACGACTTCCTTTAGATTTCTCACATTGATGGTTGGGTATCTTCATCACCCCTATCTTCTCTACGTTCACCTGAAGTCCCGCCTTCGCTACCTCGCCTCTTCTGCCAACTTGTTGGCTTTTGCCTGTAGATCTTCGAGTTTGTGCGACGTGACATTAGACATAAATCATCATCGTTGGTGAAGTTCAAATCTTCTAGGGTCTTTTCATCGATCCAGCGTGTGCCCATCTTCTCGCTCTTCACAGTTCGTTCCATGATCCAGTCCACTACAATTAGGAAGATGATTGGTGATAGTAGGCGGCAACCTTGTCTTCCTTGTCTTCACTTCAAAGGCGTCACTGAGCTTTCCATTATGAATCATTTGGCATATGGCGGCGTCATATAGCTGTTGAACGAGGTTGATATAGGTTTTTGGCACTAAAAGCGTAGTGTTAAGGCAGCTGACAAATTACTTTTCGGTTGACGCTGTCGAAATTCCACTTATTTCATTCTAGGTGTCTGTATAGTACAACTATCCAAAATCTTATAACTCGCAATTGATATTTTATAGTAATTCACCTATATTTTTTACTTGTTTTTTTTTCTTCTTATAACAAGGTGATGACTTTCAAAATGTACAAGATAAATTTATGAATGAAAATTATAATGAATTTGAAGATACTGAAGAGAATAAACTATGCTATACAGAAATTCATGATAGATATGTAAGTGAAAATAGTGATTAGTTTTTTTTTGTTCTCTCTGAAAATTCTCTTTCCACTTAAAGTATAATAATAATAATAATAATAATAATAATAATAATAATAATAATAATAATAATAATAATAATAATAATAATAATAATAATATTTTAGATAGATACAGTTGAGAGAACGCTGGAAAAAGAATTACGTGAACGAATTCCTAATTTCTCAATGCGTTCATTTATGGATAGTCTAGTGTAAGTATATATAAGGATGTGTGCATTAAATGTATATGATTAAAAAATATATTATTTCCATTCTGATTTTCATTTTGTTTTTATATTTATTGGTAGTGTTCATCAGTTTCTAGTTAAAGAATAAGGAATATGGTGACTGATTGAATGCCTTTAATCACTTCATTTGTTTAAGAAGCTGCATTGACCTGATACACGATTTCCTTATATATTCTTAACATGGATATAAAAGAATTACCGGGTGTTTGAAAACTTATGTTGTCTCTGATACTGATGATATATTCAACTCTATATTGAATAAGTTTACTGTAAACTTTGTATGATCGATTTGCATATGCTTTACTAATTATACGGTTCACATTGATATTTCTGACAATTGAGTTTCTCAACTCAATTTGGGGTTTGTGGGGATTTATTGATTTCAAGTTGGTATTCATCATAGACTGACATCAGTGGAGGAACATTGGAAACCTGAGAGCATTGGAAAGCTGCTTCGTCCTAGTATGAGACTCCTCAGTAGTGCACACCCATGACCTTCAGATTTCGTGGCCAGCACGTTATCATTGGGCTTCTGTCAGTTCACAACATAGCGCGAACATCACTCAATGTCATCGTTGAGTATTTGTCCTCAAGTTCACCAGGTTAGCCCCATGGGTCATGACTTCTCATTGGGACTCCAGGAATCATCTCTCCAAGCTAGTCACCAATGAGGTGGGGTTACGGGTGCGCACTGCCTAGGATTCCAATACTAGGACGAAGCAGTTGTCAATGCTCCCAGGTTTCCAAAGTTGCTCAACTGCCTAACTATGTTGTCAACAGGGTTTCCTTTGGAAACCACCCCACAGCCAAGACCACAATGTGTGATCTCTGACACTGTGTCGTGAAATAGCAAACGATACTACTACTGAACAACCTGGATAGTTAGAAACCACTCAGAATGACCTGTAGTATTTCGTCAGCCAGCCAGATCAGAGTGGTCTAAACACCAGGCGGCTATTTCGCTTGTTTGGAGCCGAGCTCATCACCGAGGTACCCGGACAAATTCAGCTCACTGAACCAACTAAAAAATCCCGTAGAGGAATTGTGCAAAAATAGTGTAATATATGAAATATCTTGTGGTGACTGCTCAGGTATAGCTCAAATAAATATTACCAAGATAAAAAAAACTATGCATTGTTTGGAAATATTTATTCGTAATATAGTCATGATAAGTGCTTTTATTCCACACTGTGCAGGCTTTTCATCGATGTAATGTGTAGAAGGAATCTTACTAAACAATTCAAAGTGGCTGTGGTCATTATAAATATTTTGGTTGATTATTCATTTCAATCAGTGCAATGAAATGATGTTTGCAAATATCAACAACTGTTGTCCTCCAATTGTTATCGCTTCTGAATGATATCTATTTCGGAGGTAATTATCACGAAACTATTTGTTGATATGGTATAATTGCTTGTATTATACCGTCGTTGATTGGATCCAATTGATCAGTCTCTGTTGGCATTTGGGCTCCTGTGTGGATACCTCGATATTACCTGCCAGCCACTATCCATCATAACTATGATTAAAACACAGATAATATCGAGGCATCTGCACAGGACCCCATATGTCAATAGAGACCGATCAGTTCGGTCGAATCAACGACGGTATAATACAAGTAATTATACTAAAACTAACCCGTCGCAAAAGAAGTAGCCATCGTAGCTCAGTGGCCTAGTGGATAACGCTCTGGCGTTCAAAGCGAATGGCCCCAAGTTCGAATCCCGGTGGAGCAACATCACTCACTAAGAGGCAGGCACATCCAGCTGACGAGTCCCAAATAGGACGAAATGTGCATCTTGGATTCCACTGCTAGCCCCTACCTATCATTACATTTTTTGATGTCTACAGTCCTCCCTTGTTTTACTGGATCGAATTTTTCTACCTCTATCGAATATGAGCCCGTATATGGATGCCTCGGAACTGCATGAATATTTATTAAGATAATTTATTTGGTTGTGGCGTCTGAAGTGATAGGTGCGTGATTCGAGTCTCAGTGAGACAAAATCACTCCGTACTGGAGTGCAGGTACACCAGCTGGCGAGTACCAAATAAGACGAAACGCGCGTCCTGGATTTCTTTGCTAGACATAACCAAGTAAATTATTCTGAAACTGTTATAACTGGATACAAAGGTAACTTGAGATGTACTGCTTACAGTTTATTAGTTGTAGACTAACCTTGATACTACTTTTGAATAAATATGAACTATGTGGTGAAAGCAAGTCGTAATTATTTTGTTTCGATGACATTTGGGTATCTAAGTGATTGTTCTTTAATCTAATCATTATTGAATAATGTATACACAGTCAGTTGACTATCACCATACTTGGGCATCGGAATAATCGCCACTGGATCACTATGTCAACCAATTGCATCAAATCATTAGGAAGCATATTGAATTCAGTTAATTAGTGCCTATTGTGGAGTTAACTAGACAGCTTTACAGTGATTTCACCTCCCCGCTCGCCACCACACACACGAACGACACGTATTTCGAAGACAACTTTTACTTGAATGTTAACTATATGTATGACTAGGGTTTTACTACTGTCCATATCATCTATCTAATTTTCTTTCCTCTGTTTTGTAGTCCAAATAGTGATCATTTAGATGGAGAAGTATTTGAGATGTTGTATACATTTTCAGATTTTCTTGCATTCAAAGAAATGATGCTTGATTATAAAAAGGTAAATATGTTTACCATTTTATTTAAAGTGACCAAGTTTAGTTCTCATCAATATAAGTAGTAATCTGGGGCACTTTTTCCTTTAGTCTAACATCCAGATATACAATGATTGTCATGAATAAATAACATTAGATTTCCTCTCTCATTAAATTGTTATGCTTAGCACCGATGACAAAAGAAAAAAAGCTTTTGTCTCTTGAAAATACCACATAATAGGTTGAAGTTGAATCCTGTCTGAAGAAGGATACAGTTAGACATCTCTTAGTAGTCCATTATTATTATTATTATTATTATTATTATTATTATTATTAGTCCCTTGGGTTCCTAGTGGAACATAGGGCTTCAGTAGCACGCCTCCAGTGACCTCTGTTCTCTGAGATCTTTTGAACCTGGTTCCACGACAGCCCAGAAGCTCTCATTTCCTCCTCGCACGACCTCCTCCATGTCACCCTCGGACGTCCAACTCGTCGCTTCCCATGGGGATTCCACTCGAGGGCCTGACGCGTGATGTCCTCAGTCGGCCTTCTCAGTGCATGCCCAATCCATCTCCACTTCTTCCTGCATATTTGTTGCGTGATAGGTTCTTGGTTGGTTCGTTCCCAGAGTTCCTTGTTGCTTATTTTTTCTGGCCATCTGATCTTCAGCAGCGAGCGTAAGCAGTTGTTGATGAATGTCTGTAGTTTATTGGAAATGCCTTTCGTGACGCGCCAAGTCTCTGAGCCATACAAGAGCACTGACTTGACGTTGGTGTTGAAAATCCGTATCTTGTTCCGCATGCTGAGTGCAGAAGATCTCCACACTGGTTTCAGGCTAATGAACGCCTGTCTTGCTTTTCCGATTCTGACTTTGACGTCCTCGTCCGTCCCGCCTGTAGTTGAAACAGTGCTTCCTAGATAAGTGAAGGAGGTTACTTCCTTCAAGTTTCTCCCGTTGACGGTGATTGGAGTTTGTTGTTGTTGTTGATGGTGGTGGTGCGGTATCTTCATCACTTCTGTCTTCTCTATATTCACCTGAAGTCCCGTCTTAGCTGCCTCTTCTGTCAACTTGTTAGTTTTTGCCTGCAGATCTTCAAGTTTATGTGACATTAGGCATAAGTCATCGGCGAAATCCAAGTCTTCTAGGTTCTTTTCCGTCGTCCAGTGTATCCCCCTCTTCTCGCTGCCTACTGTTTGCTGCATGATCCAGTCCACCACAATAGGAATATCATGGGGGATAGTAGGCAACCTTGTTTCACTCCTGTCTTCACTTCAAAGGCATCACTGAGCTTCCCATTGTGGATTACTTGGCATGTGGCATCTTCATATAGTTGTTGAATGAGGCGGATAAAGGTTTGCGGTACTCCGTAGTATTGAAGCAGTTTCCAAATTACTTCTCGGTCGACGCTGTCAAAGGCCTTCTCAAAGTCGATGAAGTTGAGGTAGAGAGCTGATTGCCATTCTATGCTCTGTTCTATGATGATACGAAGCGTTGCAATTTGGTCTGCACATGATTTGTACTTCCTGAAGCCTGCCTGTTCCGGTCGTAGTTTTGAATCCAGTGCATCTTTAAGCCTCTCCAGGATGATGCGGCTTAATATTTTACTTGGGGTGGACAGGAGAGTGATTCCGCGCCAGTTCTTGCAAGCACTGAGGTCTCCCTTCTTCGGCAGTTTGACAAGGTAACCCTTCTTCCAATCGTCAGGTACCTTCTCTTCCTTCCACACCTTCTGCAATAGTGGTGTGAGCATGTCCGCTGTTGTCTCTGCATCTGTTCTCAGTGCTTCTGGCGGTATTCCATCTGGTCCTGCTGCTTTCCCGCATTTCAGTAGCTTTATGGCGTTCAGGACTTCCATTTTCGTTGGGGGATTAATGTTCACTTGTAATTCAGCGGCTGCAGGTGGTATTTCTGGACGAAGTGCAGGTGGTGGTCGATTCAAGAGCTTCTTGAAGTGGTCGGCCCATCGTTTCCTCTGTTTCTCTTCTTTTGTAATTAAATTTCCTTCTTCATCTTTTATTGGTTTCATCTGTGTTGGTCTCTTCCCTGATAGCAACCTGGTTATTTGATACAATGTCGTCAGGTCTCTCTTACCTGCAGCCTGTTCTGCTTCACTTGCCAGTGTTTCGTAGAAGTGTCTTTTGTCTTTGCGTGCACTCTTCTTCACTTCTTTGTCCAGTGTTTTATACATTGTGCTCAGTTCCTCTTGTCGTTGAGCATCCTTGCACTGGTTTATCTTCTGCTTCACCATCCTCCTCTCCTCTATCAGCTTCCAGGTATCCGTCGAGATCCATTCCTTGTCTTCTTTCTTCTTCCTTCCTAATACTGTTGTGCAGGTTTCTTTCCACATAGCTTTCAAAGACTTCCAGTGTTCTTCCACACAGGTTTCTTCAGGGATGTTCCTCGATATCTCCCATTTTGTCTTGATGGCTGCTTGAAGATCTCCTTTGTAGTTTCATCCTTCAGTTTCCGAGTGTTGTACTTGAATTGAGGTCTATCACCAGCTTCCTTGAAGGCTTTTAACTTGATTTGGAAGGTTCCTTGCACTAGATAGTGGTCTGAACCTACATCTGCTCCTCTTCTTGACCTTGTGTTAAGTAGACTGCGTCTCCATTTTCTTGAGATTGAGATAAAGTCGATTTGATTTTTAGTGTGTCCATCTGGTGAAGTCCATGTCGCTTTGTGGATATCCTTGTGCCTGAACACACTGCCTCCAATCACCAAATCGTTGAATGCACAGAATTCTGCAAACAATTCTCCATTCTCATTCATTTCACCTAGCGCCTCTCGACCCATGGTTAGTTCTCTTCCCGTGTTGTCCCCTCCCAGTTTGGCATTCATGTCGCCCATTAGAATTTTGATATCGCCAACTGACGTCTTGTCCAGTGTTGATTGAAGTTGTCTGTAGAATTCCTCCTTTTTCTCTTGCTCTGCATTATTTGTAGGTGCATAACATTGTATGATTGTGACCTTTCTTCCTTTTGAGTTGAATCTTGCTGTCATGATCCTGGAGGAGATTGGTTCCCACTGCATGAGAGCCTTCGATGCTCTTGAGGACATCATGATAGCCACTCCCTCAGTGTGCTCGTGGTTGTCGTCTGGGTGACCGGAGTAGATTATTGATTCTCCAGTTGACAGTTTGGAGAGTCCACTCCCATTCCATCTGCTTTCGCAAATCCCAAGCACTTCGATGTTATACCTTCTCATCTCCTTTGCAATCTGGGCTGCCTTACTGGGTTCAAACATCGTGCGGACATTCCATGTCCCCACGTTTACTTTCGCTTTCATCGAGAGAAGACACATCGGCCAATTGGCTTCCCGAAGGCTTTCACCAACTGGCGTCATTTCGCCTCTCCGATTCCAGCGGGGAATAAGTTTGTTTTCATTTTTTATATTTTGTTTGTGCTTTGAAGTTTCTTTAGCGGTTAGATTTGTTTTACGGGGTAGGGTTGCTAGCCCTATGCCCAACCTTCCCTCTTTACCCGGGCTTAGGACCGGCTAGTAACTAGTAAACTAGTTAACCAGGCGAGGTTAGTAGTCCATTAGAAACGTAATAATTTAGTTCTGAAATACCGTCTGTGATTTATCAAAATTACTGTGAGTAAAACTTGGGCACTGTTGCTGGTATGAGGATAGAGAGAAATGGTTAGTCTGGAGAGGGTCCAATCAAAATGTACTTTATGTCATCATCAATTTTATAGTTAGACAGACAGACGATGGAGCAGCCAATCAATAGGCTGATTTTAAACAGCGAACTATCCTATAAATTAGTTGTATTTTACTTTGTTTCGGTCTTCGAACTTTCGACCCCAGTACGTGTTTGTACACGTCCATCTTGTCTTCCCCATCAGGTAGTCGGTTCCGGGAATGAACTAGGAATTTGTTGAACGTTGGTGGCTGACACTCGATATCCGTGCACTGTTAGCGGCGATAGTACATAGCAGTTTTCGAATCATAACAGAGATAGAATGTAATTTTATTATTTTGGTACTTGCATTTCTCAACGGATGTAAAACATAATTTGTTTCAACTGACGTTTCGCTATTTAGTGCTGCTAGTAGCTTTATCAACGTCATAGTAAACCGGAATTTACAATGCCCAAGCTTATATATGATAACTTTACAAGTGTTCTTCTGCATGAATGATTCTGCGTCGTCAGAATTGTAGAATAAAGATGATATCCATATGTAATGTGTTGTGTGTGAAGAGTGTTTGAATTACAGATTGAGATTTGTATGTAGGTTGGTTATGTCAGTATGTGAGGGTGGACTGAGATCAGGTCAAACTACATTTTACTTCCTCATCCTTCTTATTTAGACAATTATCATTCCACTTAATGTGAAGAGATTCTGCTATGTGACGTTCTTTATAATTTCTAAAGCCTTCTGAATAATTTTGATATTGTCAAAGTCGAACTTATAACCTGAAATTATAGCATACAAAGCTGTGGCTGATGTGTTTTCAAGTTTTTTTTCAGTTCCACTGAATTTCCAGGTCAGGTGGAAGCTCTTCGGTGTTCATTTTTCCTAATTTTGATTTCATTGGAAGTTTGTCCTATGTATATTGCATCTCAGCATGAACATTTTATTTTATAAACGCAATTAAATTGTGAATCTAGAGGGATCTCGTCCTGCAAATAAACTAAGGTGCTCTGCAATATATCTGATGTTCTAATATTGTATTTGCTGAACACTTAATTTCATCCGATGTGTGTGTATGTGATCTGTAAGGGATAACTGTTGTTGAGGTCCATGATTTCTGAATAGCTTCACTACCTAATTTAATGTTATTTTCTATTTTGCGAATGAATTTTACCGGATAATTATTCATTTTAAGTATCTTGTTCACATTTTTTAGTTCCTTTTAATTCCACTTTAGTTGATTGATGAGATATATCACACAGTGGAACAGTATTATCTACTGTATCACGTTTCGGTTTATAAACCTTGTCTCAAAGTTGTGGAGTAATCTTGGTGTAACTATAGACAATAAATTGTGTCCGAAACGTAGTCCAGTTCCACTGTGTAATACATCAAAACTAATTGGAAATGCTTTTCAAAATCTTCATTTTGGGGTGTTTTGTATCGGATTACCTGATAACTGAGATATTGCCTGATCATTCTAACCAAAGTAACTGGATCAGTTTACTGTGGTTAGGCAGCATCAAAAGCTGTATTCCATAAGTTGCTGATAGCTATAGAACATTCACACACCATTCTTTCTTTGGGATCTTAAACTATATACGTTACTGATTCAAAACCAGCTCCTGCAGATATCTTCCCTTACTCAGTGACAAGCACCAGCGTTTACACATACTTTTTCATTTTTATGAAATAAAAGCCTGTAACATCACGGGAATGGATATAGCTTAATCAGCAAATAGTATGAACGCTGACTATACATCTAGATGATGAAAAAACTTTCTCCGCTTTAGGTTACGTCGAGAAGCTTAGAAGGAGGGGGGGGGTTTTCAGTAGCTCTCGGTGACACTATCCTTTTGAGTGAATGGCATTTCACTTATTATTTTATTATTATACACAATGATTTGTCAATCTTCCTAAATTTGGATGACCAATTTGCAAATGATTTAGAAATTTCATGGTCCACGTTGACATTTCTTACAGCTGAGTAATTTTTAAGCTGCACAGCTGTGGTGTCAACAGGGTTTCTGTTGGAAATCATCTCACAGTCAAGATCACGAGGTAAGATCAAAAAGTGTCGACATGGACTGTGCAATTTGTAGATCCTTTGAAAATAGATTATCCTATTTTAGGTACTCCGATCTATGCAAATCAGGTTGCCAGAATCAGGTGATCTGATTTCATTTAGCTGTGAGTCGAATTTGTCTGGGTGCACCACTGAGGAACTCTGCCAAAAATCTACGGAACGGTTAACTGGTGTTTAGATCACTCTGATCTAGCTGACTGGCGAAATTCGCAGTTCAGCCTAAGTTGTTTCTCACTACTCATGTCTTTCAGTAGTGTATTTTGTAAATATTCCGTTTCATAAGCTGATATAAAATCAAGAGGAAGCATCACAATCCATGGCGATGGGCCTCTAAGCGCACAAAAATGCATCGTATAATCATTAGCTCGAATTGCTGATTTGGATGCGGCTAAATGAGCCTCGTTAATCAAAATTACGCGTGCTTCTCAATTGTCTCTCCATTGCAAAAAGTACCCACAGGCTAGATGATAACATTACAAGAGTTGGTCCTTCATATCTCATTGCTAGTAATAAAGTTTTTATTAAAGTTGTTTGAAACGATGAATAAATTATTTAAAAAGCGTTGTACAAAGAGTAAATTTTTGAAGTACTACACTTTGAGAATTTCATACTGTATCATGTATACTGCCTGGAATAAAGTGATTATTACCATTACTAATATTCATCGCCTTCCCTTATGCACGGTGTTTGTAGTTCAATTGAATTTCATTTTTGTAACTTCCTTTTTCTGTAAAGTAAAATATTTTCTCTCATCTTCATAACACTAACTGGTATTTTAAAACCCTTTGTATTAAGTATGTGAAGATTTCCTTCAATGGTTATTTAATTTCTAAGGTGCTTAGCATTACACGCTGACATCAGTTGTATAAATATTAAAAACAAGAAAGTACTTGGAGCTGTTTTGTCGTAGTACAAGACTCGTCATCAGTACACACCCACGGCTACGCCTCACCAGGGATCGAATCCCTGACTTTGAAGTCTCGTAGTGAACGCATAAACCATTCAGTATTGGGTCGGAGTTCGACGGTCTACAGTTTCCTACTCCATCACTTCCAAATATAATGTGTTTATCATCCACCAAGATCTTCAGCTGGCATCCAATTCACTTCCAACTGGTTGACTCCACATTTCACGATTTCGCATTAGAACTTTTGGCTATGCATCTGGAAACATGTCACTAATGAGCACTATACAGTAGTATAGTTTGAGATTTCTAGAGATTTTATTTTTAAGGTATTATTCATTATGGACTGATTACTTTATTATTTAATCAGCTTGTATGTAGGTGAGGTGAATCCAATGAAATGAGAAGACGTCATCTTATCCTAAAAATCTTGTCTTCCTGTATTATTTAATTGGATTAGTTGATAGTGTCTGACTGTTAGCTTGGTAATCGGTGATTGGAAATCCATTTCGATCCAGAAATTCATGTAAATTCAGACATTATTTCGGTTCGAAGTGAAGGATAACTTATTACTGAATATTTTTAAACATTGACTATGTAGTAGATATGTAAAGTTAAGGCTGCTAGGTTTATTTTTCAACAGATATCAGAATTTTTGAGGGGGTTGTGGAGATTTGGAAATATTTCAAGTTGTTATTCATCGAAGACTAACATCAGTTGGAGGAACAAAGGAAATCTGGGAGCACTGGACAGCTGTTTCGTCCTAGTATGGTCGTCCTAGTATGCTGAGGAGTCCCATACTAGGACGAAACAGCTGTCCAGTGCTCCCAGGTTTCCTTTGTTCCTCCAACTGATGTCAGTCTTCGATGAATAACAACTTGAAAGATATCAGAATCTTTGATTTTACATTTTATTTATATATAACTTCTGCCGACCAGACACAACTGCAACATTTTGTTAAACAAAAGTCATTATTGTGCATATTGAACGTGTTTTAGTTTTATCTTGTAAAGTATTTGTCTTTTGCCAGTTTGACTATCTGGGATAAGCGTAGTTTGACAGACTTATATTGATACTAGGTGATGATGGAAGGTGGAATGAGAATTTCTTCCACGATAGTATTCGAACCTGGAGTTGGTCGCTTATTCGAATCCTGCCCATAGCTCAGATTTTCATTTCATCCTCAATCCTCACCCAGTATTTGTCTTTTCTTTCTAGTGTGAACATTATTATTTCTGAACTTTTCTTCTCTTTTCCAAAAAAATTGTTTACGAAGGCAAAAACAGGAGAAACCGTCAATTTAGAATTAACCAATACTTATATCACATGTAATCCATGCATAACTGATCCAGTGATCCAGTTACATAATACATCATGTAATACTGTTATTTCCTATCCTCATGTTACACCATATTCAAATGGAGAACAAGTGGACTGTACGAATAAGGATTAATATTTGCATGGCAATTGTGTATATGATAAATATGTAAATAAAATACGATTGTCATTAACGTATGCAAAAAACAACTTCCCAGTGTATTTATCCTTTTGAGTGCATTTGTCAAGTGTTTTATACCTCTTATTTTGTTCTGATTCTTTGTTTATGTGGGAAAATCCATTTTATGTAATACAATGTTAGCTTATTTTGCTAGGCTGTTTGAAAAATATTCTACGTTAGCGAAAAAATAATTTAAACGTAAATAAATATTCTTTAATGCTATAGCTTGTGTGATCTCCGTCGTTGATTGAACTGAACCGATCAGCGATTATTGGCTCCTGTGAGGAGGCCTTGATATTCCTGATATTTTCAAAGTTGATATTATTGATGGATAATAGCTAGCAGGGGAATTTAGGATGCGCGTTTCATCCCATTTAGGACTCGTCAGCTGGATGTACCTGCCTCCCAGTGGGTAATCTTGTTCCTAATAAGACTCAACCCCAAGACCAGAAGCCGGAGCGTTACCCACTAGGCCACTGACGAGTCACAATAGTCACTCCTTGCACGTCAATATCGAGGCATCTGTGCAAACGGACCGATTCGGCCTAACCTACCTTGGATATTTACAAGCTATAACACCAGAGACCATACTTAACCCATCGTACAAGGAGTAGCTATCGCTCCTCAGTGGCCTAATGAGTAACGCTCTGGCATTTGAAGTCACTGGCCCTGGGTTCGAGCCCTGGTGAGGACAACATCACTCACCTGGTAGGCTGGCACATCCAGCTGACGGGTTCTAAATTGGACGAATCGCTCGTTTTGGGTCCCACTGCTCGCCACTCTTCATCACTAATGATAAATAAATATTATTTGTTATTCTCTCTACCTCTCTAAGAATAATGTAGTGGTTTATTTTCCGATGTGAAATTTAGTCGTCCAAATGAACTTGATGACATTTTTCTCACTAACTTCACTCAGACGATACCAATGGAAGAATAGCGCTTGCATTGATGGAGTTTATCCCACCTAGAGCGTATGATTTATTCACACAGCATCGCCCTTCAATACGTGAATTTATAAAACGATTGAGTTGGTTAGTGAATATCAATGTAAAAGCTGGAAACATTGCTTGATAAGTAGAAATAGTGCAATGAAAGTTCATAAAAAAGAAGAAGAACCAAAGCTAAACATGAAGTGGAATACGATGATTAGGATGAAAATGACATGTGAACATCTGCGGTGATTCTGAGCGATCTCACGTAAAGTCTCAGGCAGTCGATTTAGGTTTTTATGAGGACCCACACCATGTTTCCCTACATGGCTTACAATGACATTCAGTGACTTCATGAACAGACGCCATGTATTGATTTCGCTGCTTCTAACCTTTTTTCAGATTCAGCCTACTACATCTAATATGGATTAACGGTGTGAACAATCACTGGATATGTGTAAAACATGTCCCAGCGATCTCACTCGAAGGTTCACAACATCACCAACTGACTACTTCTTTTGCTTGAAACTCTACTCCTGACATCTACCTAACTGATTCGATGACACTACGACTCGGCTTGTGCTACGAAAGCAATGGGGAGCGAACAACTAGAGGCTTTTGCTTTCTTCAACATCTAATGGCCATTTACATACCCATATCATGAAACATGGCGAAATGCAGCACTTTACACTCAACCGTTAACGGGTAATAGAATATAATACCGGCAACATAGATGGCGTTAGTTGACGAAATCCAATCGAGCATCTTGTATCCATGCCGTGATTTTGTTGCTTGCTGACCTACTGGAACTGATCAGTGCGCTTAACTAACATCTTCCCGATTATCATATGCGGTATTAACGTAAGCCAATCATGAAGCGAAAATTTCCATCTGGATCGTGAGAAACGAGTCTCAAATCCAATTTTGAGGTTTGTGGAGATTAATTGATTCTAGATTAGTATTCATCATGAACCGACATCAGTTGGGGAAACATTGGAAACCCGGGAGAACTGGACAGCTGTTTCGTCCTAGTATCGAACTCCTCAGCAGTGCGCAAACACGACCCTGCCAAGGATCGTGCTTGGGACCTTCTGGTCCCTCGACCGGCACGTTAGCATTGAGTGACTGGACCAGAATTCAATGGTCCATATTTCTCAAATCACCACTCAATGTGTGCAGAAGATTTCACTTATCGTCAGCACCTTCACATACCAACCTTATGTCATCTCAGAACTCTAGATCTAACTCCATTTTCAGTAAATTCATTCGATGTAACACACAGTGAAACAGCATTATTTACTGGTTGGTGTTTCGAGCAAAGTTTACTGCTCAAACTTATAAAGTAATCACAGAACTTCCAAAACCTGGCTTCTTTTGTTGCATCTCTTGCTATTCTTTGGTTTCAATGGTGATAGGATTTTCATCTATTTGAAATGTATGCTGCGTCATTTCTATTGAATTGACTCAACGAGCAAAGATTCGATAATTAATTAGAAATAGTTGAGAATATTTGTGTCTCTGGTAGATGGTTTTGGTTATATTGTGTTCTCTAGACTGGGTTGTTTAATCGTGGAGCTTTCATTGTCTTGCTAGACGACATCATCAGCACTAACTTCAGTATGTAGTGAGCTGTCCATATTTCTCCGTGGGTGATTCTGTAGCTTGCTGTGACGAAGTGGTCTGTGATAAGCTGTTACCTTTGATTGTTGTGTCATTTACAGACCACATAGATTTTCCTGTTGGCTGTTCTCCTGCTTCACCTCTGACCTTTCTGTTGCCTGGCATTTTTCTTATTGGTTGATAGATTGGATCTGTGTCTATATATCTGTTGACTACTGAGTGACCTGAATTCCAAGCTTCTAGGAATTCTCTGATATTCTTTGTTTTTCCTCTCTCCATCCAAGATTTCTACGTTATCGGAATTGAATTCATGTCCATAATTATCCACGTGCATCAAATGAGTGATGAAATGTTTTGACGTTTAATATCCAATTGATACTAATGTAGACGAAAGCGAGGAGAGCGACCACTTTATTCAATATAGGTGGTGACTACAGTTATGGCAGTTGATTTTGTAAATGATGTTCGGTTTGTTTCCTTTGGTTGTTACATCCTTTGGTCTGCATAATAGTGTTTGGAGGGAATTTGTTGGTTTATGAGCCACACCAATCCTAAGTGGTTTACTTCAGTAATCTTGTCATGATTTCTAATATATTCTTTATGTATGGCAGGATGATGCGTCTATTGATTTCTGTGATCGGCTTTGTAGTTGATGATGTACGAGATAAGCATTTTTTTGATAAAGTTTCGTGGGTAGCCATTCTTCTTTAGGATGGAAAGAGCTGCTCAAAATCTCAGAAGCACCCACAACCGAGGGAACAAAAGACTGTGTTACCAACTTATCAAAACAACCACTAACAAAACTAGAAGGATGTCTTTTCAAAAAGGATTGAATTACGACACACGAGATGTCTCCAAAACAGAAATCTTTGCGGCATAAGAGTCCTCACTTAAAACCAGATTAAATGAGGTCACTCAACAAGAAATACGTTAAACATTCATACCACCGACCAGGAAGAAGAGACATCACACTCAAATGAACACTCAAGAACAGAGAACATTAAAAAGACTTAAAATTTAGGAAAGATATCATTGTACTTCCAGCAGACAAAGGACGCACTACTGTAGTCATGGACAAAGAAGACTACACCAAGTAAATAGGAATTACTCAAAAACAAAAGTGTATATCAACCACTTGAAACCAACTATCAGAAAGTTCGACAACCAGATTGATAAAACCTTGAACAAACTCTTAAAATCAAAAGAAATAAGAAAGTAAGACAAATGGCAAATGAAACTGATTGGACTTGTCCTTCCTCAGTTCTACGACAGACCAAAACTACACGAACCAGACATTTTCTCTACGACCAATGGTCTTACTTCCAGGAACTCCAACTTACAACATATCAAGAGAACTTTCGAGAAAACTGAAACACTTCGTTCAATCATGTGGACATTCCACCAGCGGAATTCCTAGGAAAGATCAAAAGGATTAATATAGAAAACGACGAATTAATGGTGTCCTTCGACGTCATAGCACTATACACATCCATCGAACCGCGATTGGCCAAGAAATCTATGTCTCTTGTGCTCAATGAAGACGCAAACCTCTCAGAACTCACGAAACTTAAATGTTCAAGTCTGGTAGAACTCATCAACCTTTGTCTGACAACATATTTCCAATGTAATGGCAAGGTATACAAACACAGATGAAAGGAACTGCAATAAGATCACCGATATCCGGACTAATTGCAGAAGCAGTGATGCAGAGACTGGAAGCCATCATCCCATCTGTGATTCAACCAAAAATTTGGATTCACTACGTAGACGATAGTTCTGTCATCATTAAAAAAGATGATAAAGAAAACACTCACAGTTTAATCAGTACCATTTTCAATGACATCAAATTCACAATGGAGAAGGAGTCAGACAACCAGCTACTATTTCTGGATGTTTTAGTCAGTAGGACAGAAGCTAGAAAACCGGAAACCCAAGTGTACAGGAAGCAAACACACACTGATCAAATCCTCAACTACAGTAGCAACAACCCTATGACACACAAAATCAGTTGCATGGAGACTCTATTGAAAAGAGCGAGAACACACTGCAGTACAACAACTTCACGGAGAAATGAAGAAAATTACTTGATGAAGAACGGCTACCCACGAAACTTTATCAAAAAAATGCTTATCTCGTACATCATCAACTACAAAGCCAATCACAGAAATCAATAGACGCATCATCCTGCCATACATAAAGAATATATTAGAAATCATGACAAGATTACTGAAGTAAACCACTTAGGATTGGTGTGGCTCATAAACCAACAAATTCCCTCTAAACACTATTATGCAGACCAAAGGATGCAAAAACCAAGGAAACAAACCGAACATCATTTACAAAATGTAATATTGGTTTAATTCCTACTACAATACCCAAGTTTTACACTTATATTGATGAGACTTATGGTCTGGATTATCTGGAAGCTAAGTACCATTTGGAATTAAATTGTATAACTAGAATATAAACTTGTAAAGACAGTAAACAGTAGAGACTATGAATTTCTTATAGAAACACGAAATGAAGTAAGACAGGCTGCTTTCAAGAAATTCAGAAACAATCAAATCGAAAAGTTCAACAAATTAATACAAGAAAAATACCCCTCGGAAAATAATCAAGTTACAAATGAAACATCATCAAATATCGATAGAGC